CCCTTTGGGAGGAATTTGACCAGCAACAGATCTGCCTCTGTCCACAGCATAAATAACCACTTCATCCATGAGAATGATACACAGTAAACATCAATGAGAAGTCAAATCAGGCAGCCCCAAGACATTCACAGGTTTTTAGAGACAATAAATTAATTCTGTTGTTTCTATCAGACTTTGGTGTTTGAAGAGCTAATGAAAGCTTCCTTTCTGAAGAATAAACACACAATTGCAAGACACTGCTGCAGAAGGTAATTAAAAATTGACAATTTTCAACTTAAAGGAGCTATAGTCTCATGTCAGCTCTGACTTCTTTAGTCTGGTGAGTTGATGTCTGTCTAAGCAGGGGCAGTGTGTGTTATAAGGCACTGCTACCACCATGATTCTGCAAAGCTGGCAGGACAGATATAGAGCTTCCCAGAGTAATGAACTGTGTACCTGGTACAGCTACCAGCTTGTGCAAATGGCACTTTCATTAACAATGTTCCTTGGGGGTGTTCTATCATTCTTAGCCTGTTATGGCCCCTATTTGTAAATATCCTTGCTATGAACATCCAGGCTTATTTTGCCTGTTTTCCTCTGTAGTAAATTTGGCCTATATCGTTAGCTTATATTTGCAATAAATTTCAACTATTGTCACAGGTGAATTTAGAAATTAATCAGATAGCTGTCATTCCTTATAGGACTTACTTGCACATGTAGTCTCACTGAGCCCTCTCAGGAAAGGAAGGAATAATATATGGCCTCGTCTGAATGTCATGCTGTTACTAAATTTATATTAATTAATAGATTCAATGTTAGAGTAAAAATACATATATTTACTACTCCAGATACACGGAAAGCATTCAGATGTGATTTTTTTTTTTTTTTGGCAGGTGTTTTTCTGGCCCTGTAAAATCCTACTCCATTTTATAGGTGAAACTATTGTAGGTACTTCCCACATCTAAATTTAAATAAATTTTAAAAGCCAGACATTGCAATTATCTAGATAGTTACTTGCATTTCTAAATTGAGTCTGAGATGGGTTGGTTTCTCCAATTGTCCCCAGCTGGCAAAAAGCATCAAATACGTCTCACATTGCAAGTCATCCCATATTCCACAAGAAAGTGTACTGCACTGCATTTTAAAAAAACTGTAAAAGATTATCATTGCCATCATTTAACTTCAGTGAGGCCATTGAAAAGCACTTAAGGCTACCCATAAATGACAACCATTTTATTTATATGGTTCTGAATATGTGGATGAATTACTTCAGCCTGCATTATTAATACTATAATAATGAAGGAACACTGTGAACCAGACAGTGCAATGTATCATAAGGACACATCATTATTCTTTGAAAATACATATGTGCACACATGTAAATTCCCACACCAGTTCTTATACTCAAATCCCAGTTTGGCTGCTGCTTTGTCAATGTTTCTGAACAAAGCAATGCTGTTGCTGCCTCCTTGCCTGCAGAAGCATTTTCAGTGTGACCTGCTGAAACTTCTTTGGTTATAGGTTACGCCTCTCAGGAACTGTTTTCAAGAGGGTGTTTTGGGATTTTAGTGCCTACTTTCTGCTGAAACTCTCTGCAGGCACCAGAAATGTCATATAAATTTACCTTTAAAGCACAGGTAAATTCTGAAGCAATATATGTAAGCTAAACAAAAAAATCATTAACTGGTTTCTATTCTTCCCTTAAAGCTTATTATTTTTCTCATCGGTGCTGGTCCTAATTAAAGGGAGAGGACCTTCTTCCTTAACCAAGCCGAAGAGACCATGAAAATGACTTGGCAGCCTGAATCCCACCTGTGAATTGGCAGAACATAGGACATGGACAGTGCTCCCCTCAGCTCCCAAAGGAAATCTGTCAGGCAGGCACTTTCACAGCATGCTTTCTAACATGCACAGGCAGGCTTGACATCCATGCAAAAGAGAACTCAAAATGCACCTAGAGGGGCCACAGAACATCAGCCTTTAGGCTGCTAATTTAGCAATGAAAACACATGAACAGGACCAGAGACCAGGGTTCAGTCTCCTCCTCCTCCAAACTTCACAAGAAGCCCTTCAGACGGAAAACAGAAGAACACTTCACTTTCTCCCTACATTTTTCTGGCCAGTAGATTACAAAATCCTAATCATTTTCTGATCCAATAAGTATCAAAATCCTCTCTGTGGGGAAACTAAGTGCAACTGGTAGAACGGGAAAGCTGGAAAACACAGCTTCTTTGCACCACAGTCACATCACATTACTAATAATAACTGAGATTTTGGAAGAAAGAGATGAGTGAGTTTTTAGTAGATCAGGTGGAGAAGGGGGCTGAAATCAATCTCTACCTTCTGCCATGGTTGCTTTATTTCAATAAAAAGAAAACGAGAATAAAACTTGTTTGCTGTGTATGGGAGGATAGGAAGGCATAATATGTCTTCCAATAACCATGTTTAAAACAAAAAAGACAAATCATTCTCAGTTCTTAAAAAAAAAAAATCAATTTTTCTCATAAGTGAGATTACTGGCAGTGAGTTCAAGCTGACAGAGCCCTGCAATATGACAAGCAAAACCATGGCTAAGGTTTACTCATGCATCCTATTTGTCTCAGATGTCAGATGTAAGCATCTCTTTGCCTCAGAGGCCAGCTGGCTGGCACCTCAGGTAGTGCTGTTTCAGATTGCATTCAGTCCTAACTCTTCCCGGGAATCAAATAAAGAGCCTAAATGTCTACCCCAGGACTCTGGGTTCCTCTGCAAACGCAAGTACTTAAAAGTCTGATGTGCCGCCCAAGCTCTTAATTGGATTCAACCCTATAATTTCTACCATAATGGGATGACCCAGCAGGATCACTTACAGCAGAGCACGAAAGCAAGTGCCAAAGAAGTGAAAATGCAGAAGTGCAAAGTTGTAGTATTGATTGTTTAAATTACCTCATTCAACAGCCTTAGGCTGACTATGAATATTTCAGTATTGTACACCATTTCAGTTTCACATCTAATGTGTTTCTGGAGTAAACAAGTGATGCTTGGGAAAGCCTTCCTTCCTTATAAACAAAATAAGACAAGGGTTCCCAAAGAAAACTCAGAAGCAGTCAATCAGAGATTTTAAAACAAACTGAGGCATAATGGAAGACTCATTAAACATATCTTCAAAATAATTCTGTAATAGCCTAATGGGTTTATTTCACTGATTTTTTTTTTTCAAAATACAATGCCACTAGTACAAAAAAATAGTTGAAAATCCTGTCATACTGAAAGAAAATTAAGGTTCAAAATGGCAATGATTACACAGCACGGGGATTTTGTTGTGCTACTGCACTGTCCAAACACCTAAACACTTAACAACAAGCTCCAGAAAAGCTGTGGCAAAGTGCTGCTGGATGTTTCAGCATGTTTCTCTATTGCTTTTAATTTTGTGCAATGGTGTCACATTGTTTGAGAACCAGTTACTGGCAAAGACCTCTTTCACAGATGGTGAGTGGGGATGACACAAGCAGGTGTCTGCCCTAGCAGAGAACTGGAGGAACAAGGTCTTGCCTAGAGAACCAGCAAGGCATGTATAACATGACATCCATATGTATAACAGCTGAGAGAGTGTCTCTGCCATCCAAGCAGACACCATGGGTGCTAAAACTACTGTTTGAGATAAAACTTATTATTAGCAACCCTCTATGTAAGGGGAGGAAAGAGGCTGTGCAGACAGACACTATTATATCATACAATCAAGTCCGCACATGCCGGAGACAGAGATCTGTAATGGGAAGACAATTTTCCCCATAGACTTTCTGGCTGAATTTCGCTTTCTGTTCTTGGTAAAAATGTTTATATTACAGACAGTTGACTTCTCAGTACTTAAACAGAAGTATTTGCATAGTCAGATCAGCCTAGGTTATGCCATGTATAGAACTACTGGATAGCATGACCATAGAAAAAGTGCAATCCAGAGGAAATCATACAGAGTAAAATGTTCTAAATTTTTCAGGCCTCTACTTAAGGCTTGGTTTGTGACCAATGCCCAGAGCCCAGACTATATATATGAATATCCAGAAACCAGTTCTGGAAATGCTTAATTGAAAAATTTCTATCTCTCTCAGCCCACAGAATGGGACTGACCATACTTATAAAAAAATCTTAAAACTTGTAATCGCAAGTATACTACATAAATGCCAGCTGGCTTGACACTGTGTGAAGTGAATAGCAGATTATACATTACAAAAAAACCCCAAAGCCCAGAACACCCACCTTTCCAAAGGAAACCAACACTATCAGGAAAAGACATATGCTCGCTTCTTGCCACCTACAGGTGAAACACTAAAATCCTCGTAGTTCAGCAGATAATTATGTGTCAGACTCCAGTTTGGAGAGCAAATTGCCCCAGAACTGACATTAAATACAAACAGCACAGGGATTCCAAATGTTGTGCCACTTATGGAATATTTTATGGGTTTATTTTAAAGTGGAAGCATTTTAAATTTTAAATACTTCATTTTTTTTATTATCAGTCCAGTTGCCAAGTCTTTCTTTGTTTGTTCTTTTAGGGAGAACAGCTGAAAAGATCTCTTATCCCTTTTTCTTTTGTGTCCTAGTCTCATGCCATGTTCCTGCTAATTACTGTTGATTAGCAAACAGCTTGGCAATTAATCCTGGCAAGTTAGTCATCAGTTTGATAGCACTGCACTTCATCCGAAAGGTAGGGGGAATTTATTGTTAGTTTCAGACAATTAGCAAGGGGCTGGCAGAGCTCACAATTGCCTAAAAGCTCAGTGTTCCACAACTGCTGAGATAAATTACTGAATCAATTAAATCACATCAGTGGATGTCTGCAAGCATATTTAAAGCTAGCAAACAAGCTACTGAGAATTAGTGGGAGGAGAAAGACTAGCAGGAGGTTTCTTTGTTGTTGTGTTTGGTGGTGTTTTTCTTAAGCTGTTGGAGTTTGTTCTGTTCTGCCATTAACATTAGTTAAATATAGCTAAAAGCTGGTGTTGACTTAAAGCAAAATAATCTGGTAAAGAGTAAGAACTAAAATGACTTTCCTTCCAAAGTGGTTAACTTTTCTGAAAGGCAAAGAAGTTGTTATTGCTAATGCTATAATTGCAATACTGACAATTGGTGGGCAGCAGCTTTTCTCTTTTTTCACGTTCAGCTGTCCCTGTCACGTTGGACAGAACCTTATTTATGGGCTGGCTTTCCTAGGAGTTCCTGCACTGATCCTTCTGATTGTTGGCTATGCCCTGAATAACCAGACTTGGAGGCTGGTTACAGGCAAAAGATCTCATTTTGAGAAGGTGACTATATCAAACCGGTTCCTGAAATGCAAATTGATCTGCTTTGTCCTGTGTAGCATCACTGGGAGAGCACTGGTTGCTCCAGTAACATGGCTAGCAGTCACCCTGATAAATGGCTCATATTATGTCTGTGCTGTGAGTGAGTATGTCCCCACGTATTATTATGGAGCTAATCCTAATGTTACTGCTAGTGAACACAGAAGGATACTGGCTACATTTCCATGCAGTCAGTTAGTTCCACCAGAGATGACCCGGGCAAGAGATGAAGTGATTCTCCTACTCCGATACCAGTCACAAGTGAGTAACTCATGTTGTTTCTGTTGCCTCTGAACCTAATGATGAGAGGTAGAGTTAATTCAGCAGACAAAGGGTTAGGATAGAACAAGATCAGTGCCTTGTGTCCTGAGTGCAAAATCTCTGTGTGTTTTGAAGCCTGCTTTTTTTTCTTCTAAGTGGAACTGAATTTTAGGTATATAAATTACTATGTCTCGTTGTTCCACTTGTTACCTGCTATGAGAGGATATATTCTTCCTTGTGTAGTATCCTGAAAAGTACTATCAAGTAAAACAAATGAAAGGCAAAGAGCCAGGGAGGGTATGAAGTTTCTTCATTAAAGCATAAGAAATGTGTGGCTAAGGGGCTCAGGCTATGGGAGTTTCATGGGAACCAAGATCAGACTCGATTCTAAAAGTTTACATACTGGGTAAATAATGGGGTGAACATAAAGTTGACACTTCAGAGAAAACTGGTTTTAAACAGGCCATAAGGTAATACAGTCTAGAAGTCATGTGGCTTCTCTTCTAACAACAACAGCTCTTAGAGCAATATACTTAAAGTTATATAACAGAACTTTCTTAAACTTCACAAGAACAAGTGACTTTACTACACAGCTGCCTCCAGTAGGCATAGACTGTGTTTGGTGGCAACAGACTTTTTCCAGGCTTATACCTTGTTAACATTATTACTTAGAAAAAGCAAGTAAAGATCCCATGGATTTTCTGGTGCTCAGAAGTTACCACTGTATTTTCAGCTGTAACAGTTCTTTTCTTTTTCTTTGTAAGGTGGCTGGCTGGCTTCTGATTGCTGTGGTAGTCATCACTGTCTTCCTGTCTTACTGCCTGGCAAGCTGTTTCTCCCCACTCAGCTTTCTACATCTCAGATACTGGAGCAGCTATGTCCACAATGAGCAGGAGCTCTTTGATGAGGCGACGGAGCAGCACTCCAGGCTCTACGCCATGCAGCATGTAAGGAAGTTTTTTGGCTTTGTCCCAGGAAGTGAAAATGTAAAGGAAATTCGCATCCCATCTCTCAGAGAGTGGCAAGCCATTTCTGGACTGGCCTTTCTAAAACAAGTGGATGAGGAGCACTATGATTATAGTCTCCTCCATGACTGGGCACTCAAGGAACGTGCAAATGGAAAATACTTGAAGACTGATGAAGACCCTTTGATCAAAACACAGCTCTGAGGATCCAAGCCACCACAACACCTTGCAGAAATGCAGGACCCTGTCTAACTCTATCAGACTTGAGCTGCTCTGGAACTTTCCAATGCATTATTACATTGATATATAAAGTATGTGAGCAAGTACATCTTGTTAATGTAGTCCTTTAGCACACACTTACAGATGCCTTTACTGATGGCATCTGACTCCTATGGGATGTGATCTATGTCTAGATTAGGGTGGGCTGTTTCAAGCTGCAGCTCTCTGCTTTCTAATAGTTATGCTAAAAGGATAAATATGTACTGGGAAAGTTATTTGCAGATGCTTTTTTAAAAATTTTTTTCTTCCCATTAAAAAGATTTTTAATAGCTTTGACTGGATCCTCTGAGTTAGTGCATTCTGTATAGAGCAAAAGCAGCGATTCAGCTTTTTTCTTAATGAGCCCAAGCAGAAATTACTTATGTCTCCTCTTCCACTTTTTTTTGTATTGTATGAATAAACTACACTGAGCTAACTAACTACAAGCGAAGTCTGTGGCTACAGGAGCACAGAAGAAACATAGGGGAAATCTTATTGTCAAAGGCTGAGTCTAGATACAATGATGAGAGAACTTTCAATTCTGGTAAGGAGAGAAAATTCCCACTGAGGCAGAGGATGGAGGTGTCTAACATGGAGCAGCAAACACTTGACATTTGGTAAACCGAGTTGAAAGGTGTTCTGGCTGAAAGCAGTAGCAAGATCAGTCTCATTTTTAGAAACACCTCAAAATCTCTAAGGTGTTTATGTGCTTGCCCACTGTACAAATAGCAAATCAGGATAGGAAAAAAAATCTCCCTTTGTGCAGTAAGGTTTGCTTTGCCTGCAAAGATCTTGTAATTTAGACATACCACTGGGCCTATGAATGTTATTGTGATTAAAAATTATTGAATTTAGTGAAAGAAGGATTAGTGATGTTTTTGTGTTAATTCAGTGTGGTATGATGTGATGTTACTCATCTCCTCTCTAACTCCTTGTGCAAATGTTTCTAACTCTAAAAGGGGTTGGGGGGAAATGCATACCATAATTTTTCTTAATGCTTCCTGTATTGCCTTGTAATGTACATATACACATGTTGTATGCTCTGAAGCTATATGCTAAACTATGGGATGCTATCTGTTATTAATAAATGACCCCTGGTGGTTGAGGAGGAGAAATATAATTATTTGGTATGTTTTACTAGAAAATGTAAGAGCCAGAAGTAAGTTAAATTGCAGATCTTGGTAAATATGTATGGTCTTGGAGATTTAAACTTCTAAACAAAAGCAAGCATTTTAGCAAATGCAAACCATGTATTTGTTGAATAACTGGAAACTAGGCATATTTTACATCACTTTACATCATTCATTTGAACCCTAAGCTTTTGCATACGTAGTGGGTTGACCCTGACTGGACAACAGGTGCCCACCAAAGCTCCTCTGTCACTCCCCTCCTCAGCTGGATAGGGGAGAGAGAGAATATAAAGGAATTCTCATGGTTTGTGATAAGGACAGGGAGAGATCACTCACCGTTTACTGTCACAGGCAAAATACATTCCACTTGGAGAAATTATTTTATTACCAATCAACTCAGAGTAAGACAATGAGAAATAAAAATTACAGTACATTTGCCCCCTGCCTTCCTTCTTCCTGGGCTCACCTTCACTCACAAATTTTCTACCTCCTCCTCCTCCCAGCAATACAGGGGCAGGGTGAAGGAGGGTTGCGGGCAGTTCATCACATGTCTCTGCTGTTCCTTCCTCCTCAGGGGAGGGCTTCTCACATTCTTCCCCTGCTCCAGTGTGTGATACCTCCCAATGCAGAGAGTCCTCCACCAGCACCTTCCACTTTCTGGCAGAAATGGCATTCAACTGCCTTCACGGTACCCTTCTGTGATACCTAGAGCATCGGTTTTGAATCCTCTTCAGTTTGCTGATCCCTGTAAGTTTTCAATGGAAGAACGTCCAAGAGTGAATACCTGCCTAACAGCAATGTGCTCTTTATAGCGACCCTGAAGCTGCGGGGAAGCAGCGCACGTGTGGAGCGGAGCATGGCAGAAGGATTCCTCCTGCACGTCAGGTACAGGCGGGCAAACACGCCCAGCCAGCTCAGCCCGGAGCTGAACGCCGAGCAGCAACTGCTGGAATTTGCTGAGCAGAGGGCACCGCACCTTATGCCTCCCCGATGATGAAGAGGATCCAGGCCGGCTCCCCGCGCCTTCACCGCCGCCTTTCGCCCGGCCCAGCGATGGCAGCAGCATCCGACGCCCCGCCTCCCTCCCTCCCTGCCCTGCAGCCCAAAGGCATCCAGCGCCGAGCGCGAGCGCTAGGCATGCTAGGAAGGGAAGGCAGCAGGCGGGGAGGACGCAGGCGCGGGCGGGCGGGGAGCGGCTGCGGGTCGGGGTCGCTGCGGGGCCGGCGGCCCATGGCCGTGGGCGGCGGCGGCGGGCGACGATGACGGACTACAGCGAGGAGCAGCGCAACGAGCTGGAGGCTCTGGAGTCCATCTACCCGGACTCGTTCACGGGTGAGCCGCGGCGGGGCCGCGCCGTGCCGGCGGGACGGGCGGGAGGCCGCGCCGAGGCTGCCCCGGGGCTCCCGAGCCCCCCAGCCTGGGTGGCTTTTTCGGGCTTTTTGTTTGCTTTCCCTGGGGAGGAAAAGCAAAGCACTCGATGGCTCCCGTCGCCAGGTAGGTGCCGGTGCGGTGCGCGGCGCTGCCTCTGCCGCGTTTGGCGCCGTGGCACAGCTGCCCAGCGTGGGTACCCGCTCCTCTATCCCAGCCCGGGCTGTGGCGGGCGGAAGGATGCCCTTTGGAGAAACCTTTCAAAAGATGCGGCCCTAGATGGCAGTTGGGGAATTGGCTTGTGTGCCGACTGGTTTTCCTTTTCGGTAATAGCTTGTCACGACCGTGTAGCACGGGGTGTTTTGGGGTACGTAAAGATGTTGTTTTCTCTGTAAATGTCCTCAGCCAGTACTTACCTTATTCTGTTGCTGTCTTGTGGTGGAAAAAAGGAAAGCTTTAGTTCCTTGGTGGAGTATGTTGTATTACTGAAACTTTTGTAGGATGGATACGTTGGTTCATCAGTTTTCCAGGACTTCCAAGTTACCATCAAACAATTAAGAGTATCTACCATGTTAGCTATTCCAACATGGTTTATGTTGCTCAGTATCCAAAGAATTTTAACAGTGGAAAAAACAGGGCATTTTCAGTTCCCTTCCTGCACAGTATCTACTCTGCCCGAAGTCCCACAGTATCTTATTTGAAAGCAACTTCATCACACAGCTGTTTGTCCATTGCTTCAATCTGAAAATCTTTTTGGTTCTTCAGTTTTATGTTAAAGATTAGTTAAAGATATGTAAATTGATCTCTGCTTACTCCACAGTTATTGTTCATTCATGTAATGCTTTTATGCCCAAGAGAAGAAGAGGAAACAAAGATAGCAGTAGTACATTAGCAATTAGGTAAAATTCACATAATACTTTGAGAGAATGTATACTAGTTTGGGCATAGGTTGTAACAGTGATACAGAGCAATCCTTATGTGAGAATATGATCTGCAACCCACAATTGTGCAATGAGGTTTTCAGCCTCACACAGATCATAGCGCTTGCATTCTGTGCGTCTCCACAGGAGCCACTTTTTGTCTGTCTTCTAGCTGCCTAATTTACACATTCTAGTACATTACTGGGGTAGTACAGTCTTGAAGGAAAACCCTTCTTTTTTTGTTTTAAGAAGCGTTTTTTACATTAAGCTGTCCTAAATATAGGTGCAGACATACTGTAAAAATAGTCCGGGGTCAAGAGTACACTGGGTGCTCATCACATATATCTGGCGCAGTAAAGCAAATTAGCTTTGGGAGCTTTCTGAACACATTCCAGGCACTAGCAGAAATCATTTGATGGTAGGTAGATTTGTGCTTTCTGGAAAAGTGAAACTGCCAGAAAAGAAAGTTTTCCAAGGGAGAAATTTCTTGATATTTTTGGTGTTATATGTGCTCATTCAAAGAGTACTCCAGGCATCACATCATGTGGAAAGTAGCTGTTAATGGAAAAGTATTTATTAATAAGGTAAAAAGGCCTTTAACACTGTATCAAGAGCTTCCTTTCTTCATTAGTCCTTGACAAGTTTTAGTGATGTGAAGAAGTGGTTGTCTGATTTAAGGACTCTCTCACTGACTTTTTTTTTTTCCTTTGAACAGTATTGTCAGAAAAGCCAACAACTTTCACGATCACTGTGACGTCTGAAGCTGGAGAAAATGATGAAAGTAAGTTGGTCGTGTCTTAAACATATATAGGAGGAGTTTCTTTGTAGGCCTAATTCTATCACCAAAAACTATGTGTACCTCCATTTAAGTCCTCTTAAGGGCCTGATACAGCAAACACTCCTCAGCAAATGAAGTTCAGGGATTTTGGTGGTCCTTGTTTAGTTTACAGAAGTGTGAATGCTAGGACTGCTTTCTGCTGAATCTCAAAGGCTTTGTAGCGTATCTTCAAAAAGTATGGGTTATCATCATCCTTGTAGCAGCTTACAGCCATGTGAGGGGATTTTTTTCCTAGCAACTCTATGTATGCCAGCCACAAGGGAGAGTTGAGTTTGTGGGCTCTGAATGTGCAGCCCTTAAGGAACAGTTCCAGAGCAGAGGGCTGTGGGTCCCGAGTCACTGTGTATTTCTTGGGTGTCCACAATTGCATGGGCATGATGTAAGCAAGCCTTGCTCCAAGCAGGTTTGGAAGCTGCTATTCTGGGTTACTGTAACAGAAGGAATAAACTGGTGCTGTCTTATTAAGTTTTAAAGGAGCAAGTCCTGCTTGGAGCAGGTGTCTGTGTTGAAGAGACTGCTGGGCTGCCAAGAACTGTGAGTCTGGAACTAAAGGAAAGCTTCTCCCTGGTATTCTGGGAGGATGTGTAAAAGGACCTTGATTTTCTTCTACTTGTTTCCATGTTATCCTGGCTCTGGGCAGCTTCAGCTTGAATGTGTTTTCCTTAGGTGGTTCTTTGCTTAATACCTCCT